TGTTTCTCTCTTGTTTGAAAGACTTTTGTCTTGTGTAGTGGCTGACTTTTGGGTTTTCCAAGAAAATTACCAAAAAAAGGAAATTTTTACGGAATTTTTTGTTATAATAGATTATCATTAAACTATATATACAACATATAGAGATATATAGTTTGCATGAAATAATTAATATCATATTAAAGAATATATATAGCTAAGTTTAAGTTTATTTTTAATAAAAGGTTTGCATCTAATATCAGTTGCAATAAAAAAAAAAAATTATAAAGTATAAACTTTAAAAATCTTTTTATTATAAAAAATTTTTATTATAAAGTTCAAATACTTTATAATTGATATTTTCTTCTCTTGAAACTTTTATATTATTAATTAAAAAAATTTTTTTTTTTACTGAAAAAAATAAAATAAAAGAAACTCATAAAAATATTTTTCAAGTTGTTTTTAAAAAAACATTAAAAAAATCTTTAAAAAATTATCAAATTTCTTATAAATATTTTTTTGTGCAATATGTATAATAGGGGACAAAAAAATTACATTTTTTTCAAATATATTTAACTTAATAACAAATTATTTAAATTAAATTAAGCTTAAAATATAAAAATATAAATACTTAAATATCTTAAAATTAATTTTACTTAAGACTATTTTATAACTTTTATTATTATTATTATTTTATATTTTTATTTTAATTAAAAAATTTTATATTATGCACAAATTTTACAAACTAATATATATAAATTTATATATAACATATAATATTTATATGAATTAATACTGTATATAAAATTTTAAATTTTTTTAATTAAAAATTATTTTATAAAACTAAAATATTTACAGTATATTGTACAAATAATGCAAGAATTATGCTATACAGTATATTGTACAGTATACAAAAGTTCATTCATGTACTGTATAGTGTGTACAATATATACAGTATGCGAATTAATCAAATTACTTTTTTTTTATAAATCTCATGCATATCAACTCGACATTGAAACAAGAGTTCGTAGATTAAGTCCAAAATTAGATCACACTCTTTTGTTGGGGTCAGAGACGCTCGGGATAATTCCCGGCGGAACGAAACACGTATTCAATCAATCATTTGCTCAACCGACCACGTACCTGCTAATATCAACCTGGTCTCTTACACAAATGTGCAATAATTAACGTGAATTTCACGGCAGATTAGTACATACATACTGTTACTATAAATGATTTGCGTACGCACTCTTTTTGGATAGGGATCCATGATCGCTTTAGTGAAACAATTGCAGGCCGTTTTTTTTGAGGTCAAGAATTTTTTTTATAATGAGCATAGAATGACAATATGTACGTACAGTACATACGGATGTACCTGGAAAGAAGAGCTTGGCGAGTCTACGGAAAGAGTAAAGCGTCGTCGCTTGGAAAAAAAGAAGCAGAGTGCCTTCTTTTTATTTGTTTCTGTTAAATAATATACATGTGGGCCATTTCCCCTTTTCTCGTTTTTTATCGATCACTTATATACACATGCACATCAGACACTTGTTTCTAATTTGTTAACGTCTCTAAGTTTCACAATTTTTTTTTTTTCTTTTTTAATATCAAAATGTAGTTGAGAGATGAATTTTTTTTATTCCCTGTGGTGAAGGTCATAACAATTTTATGCCCTCCAAAGCATCTCTTCTTTCTCTTACACGTAAGAACCGTTTTGTTAAACAATTACCATTACCAAAAAAAAACTTCTCACTTATCGTTTCATCTAAAGACCTCCCCCCATTTTTTTTGTTGACCATATTTACATCCCTTTTTGATCTTCATACTGTCACCCCAAAGTTTTTTCTCAGCCACTGAATTTTTTTAACCTCACAAAAACATTATATACCCGTTATTTACAAACAAGTTCTTCACAAAAATTTCCCTCTAGAATATTATAAAGACTTTCTTTATAATCATAATAAGAAACACTTTAAATTCAAAGCCATAGAGCATGCAAGAAGAAACTCGAAGACCCTTTATCTCACGTTCACAACCTGGTGAACTTATAGCTCCAAACAGTCTGCCGACCTCTTTATCAACAACCACCCCCGTAACATTTCAAACCCCAACTTCAACTTTGACGGTTCCTGCCTCACAAACTACTGGTTCCGGGATGGAAGATAGCTTTGCAAAAATGAGGAGAACCAGGAGGAGCCTTTCAACCTCTTCTTCGAGTCAAAGTTTACTGAAGAAGAGTTTGTCGGTAAAGCCAAAACCATCGTCAAATCATTATTCTACAAATTTATTTCCAACCAGCGAGAGTGATACTAGCAATAGATCTTCCTTCGAAGAATTCGACTATTCAACTCCCGGGACCCCTTTTACCAATATAAACTCGGGTTCTACTTCCAGTAGTAGTTCCCTCAACTCGCCTTACCTTGCGAATATATCACTGGGTGGTGTAAGCCATCCTGCCCATCCCCTTTATCAAAGAGAGAGGCACCGTTCGTTATTTGTACTGTCGGGTAAATCTAGTAATGGCAACGGTGTTCAACAGACCATAACTTCTCCTTCACCAGTACAATCTCAACAAGAGGATACACAATCAACGATACGCCAGCAACAACTTATACCCCCCTCACCTTCCACTTCACAAACATTTCAAAATACGGTAGCATCTCAATCTCAACAAAAGTTATCCAAACAAATTACACAGCGTCGTCAGAGTGGGACTAGTTCACAACTGAAACGAATGATTTATAATAATTTCTCATCGAACACTTTTCCTTCGGATTCGGAGACCGACTCTTTGGAGGACTCGGATGCTTATGTGACAAATGACGAACAACCCTCTCTCACTCCCTCACCTGTAAGGCGCAGACCCTCGTTTCAAAGATCTCCAACTCATCGATTCTTTCCCGATTTGTCGGTAGATGCTGAGGAAAACCATCTAAATGGGTTGCAGATAATTGAGGAGGGTTCACCGGATTTCACTTTTCCAAAAGTAAAACGGAAACTCTTAAAAGACCTCGAAAGGTCAAAGCTTTATGCGGACAAGGAAATTTTTAATATCTTGGAAAATTGGTACCAATCTCATCAATATCAAGAACTTTTAAATGAATACTTGTATGATGGTTGGAGTGACGATGATGATATACAAGCCCCGGTTAATATTGAAAGAAATAATAGTCATAGGGCCACCATAATAAGCGACACCGATGATGAATCGACGGAGGGTAAATGCAGAAAGGAACAGTTAAAGGCATCTAAAAAAGTTAATTCGACAACATCTCCGTCATTGCACGGAAAAACAAACCCAAAAAATATTGTCATTCAGCAGAGGAAAAATTCCGAGAGGAGATTAGGGCATTCAAATAGTTGGCCACCATCAATATTAGGTACGCTAATCCATTGTCAATGCTCTTGTCGAAGTGGCAAGTTGCAAAGTGAATCATAATATGAGATTAATGATGACTATTGATAATTGATAATATTATAATGAAATGAGTGTCATAATTTGTATAAAATTTCTGACAAGTATCGCGCACTTTTTTTAAAGCATCATCGCACACGCTTCTTCTGACACGTATCAACCGCATCGCGCGACGAATTCTAAAGACACCCGCCCTCGACTTACTACATTTTAATGTGGCCGTTGAAATTATGAAGGAGCTTCAAGAACTCAGGGAATCACAGAGAAAGATGGCCGTCGGAAATGCAGACGCGGAAGAATTGTTAACAAAATTGACTTACGCCTTCGCGGATGTGACGAGAGCTGTTGAGGCAGTGGTAATTGAGGAATCTCGTGTTCAAGGGGAAACATCGCCTAATTAATAAGTGTTTTAAGAATAAATTCTGTCTTTTTTTTTTTTCCCTATGATCGAAATTCAGAATCAATCATCTGCTGAAAACCTGGAAAGCTCCGATCTTCCAAGTTCAGAGTCCCCGCTATCATCACCTTCACTTCCGATGACTCCATATTCGGATTCGCGAGATCGGCGTAGGTCGGCAGCATCATCTGATGACAACAGATTTATGAAAACGCGGTCTCCGCTTGCTTATCCTCCGATGAATCGTCTCTCGTCTTTCATTGATTCTATTGAGAAACTATACGCTTTTGAGTTCGGGACCATATTTGAAAGTCCAATAGTGTACGTACCTCCTCCTCCGTCATGTCAGGACGATAATCATCCTACTTGGAGTAGAAAGAAAGTTGATCAGTTGCTTCGTGAGGAGATGAACCGAGAAATTGATTATGGCATAATCCTAAAAAAACAACAAGAAGACAAGAAACCAAAAAAAGTGAATATCAATTTTATTCATATACATGTATACACATTTCCCAAATGGTTTGTTAAATACTTAAAACTAACGTGCTATACAATGTTCAAAGTCGAGGCCCATGGCGAACTTCTTCAAAACCTTAAAAAATGCATTCCATAGTCCTACATCGTCGACTAGTGTTTCACCAACCGGATCTCCGACTCCCTCGGTACTTCAATATAGCCCAATACGTAATAGCAATTTTCCTCGTCCCCCCCAGGAAAAATCTCGGTCCCTCTCTTCCGACTCGAATGCACTTTCTTTGTCTCGCCAAAGTTCATCAATTTCATTAAGAGGTGATAATAATAATAATCATAATTATAATTATAATTATAATAATAATTATCTGGCTGCTCAAAGCGTTGGTAACAATTCTTTGCCTATACCGGGTTTCCCCATTCCTCATGACTACATATTATGCCGTATCTGTGAGGAGATGATTCCCAGCCACGAGTTGGATGCTCACTCGGTAACTTGTGCTATTACCACAGAATATGCCATCAAGTTGCAAGAGTGTGATGGTAGACTTCGGAGATTGGTCAGCGACGTGGAGGATATTATGGTAAGTGTTTGTTATATATATAAATTTTTTTTTACTACGTGCAGTTATTTTTGTTCTTTGAATGTAAGGGTAACAATCCCCTCGATTCAATTTCTAGAAAAACATGCAATATGTGGATTATTACAATGTGAAAGACGCTGAATTAATGCGGGAAATTGGCCTAAAGTGATTGTTTAATTGATCCTATCGATGGTGGTGAATAATTGAATGGATTGTTTTAAACTTGTGAACTCACTTCTTTTTTTTTTTTTTTTTTTTTAACATATATATATATATATAATATCGTCAATAGAGCTGTTACTATAAAGGAGACCTCAAACCGTGATGTGCTTAAGAAATGTGATAAGTATGCCACTAAACTAGGGCGATTGGTAGAAGACATGGAAAAGAATTCGATTAGAGACGAACACATATTAACCTGTGGGAAACGGTTACTTCACGTGGTATGTTAATTATAGGATCACGGCCTTGGACTGCTTTGATTTTTTGTGATTTTCCAACAGGGGAACTTATTTCCACGTGAATTCAGGTTCGTGAAAAGAGCGATACGCTTCGCGCGTACTACCAGAAGTTGCGATCAACTAACGCGTCGTCGAATGTCGGTTCGACGGCCGCGTTTGCTGCCGTTGCTGCTGCCGTTGCTGCCGCGCCATCAGCTGCAATTGAAACTGGTGCATTGCAAATACCGCAGCAAGTCGGCAGGAAACAATCGACTTCGAGCCGAATATTATCAACTTCGGCGTCAAGTAAAGCTTCATCCGGCTTCTTGTCCAAACAAAGTAACAATAATCAACGTGCTCACAACGGAAAAAAAGAGTTGTCGCTATCACATAAACGTCAAGACAGCGCGGGTTCAATATCATACGGTAAGACGCTTTCCGAAATTGGTATGATCGCTAATCTTATATATAATTGCTTTTTTTTCTTCGAGTTCGACTTGAATTCTTTTTAAAATGACTCTCACGATCATTCAACAGACTCCGATAATAATCCACCAGCTCGTGGTAAAAAGCTGATATCACTTTTCGCCGCTGTCTTACGCGGGGGAAACAGTCGTGCTAATAATAATAATTCATCACCGAAGGATCCCGGTAATTCGTGTAGTGCTCAGATTACCAACGGTGACAAAGTGGTGAATAATTGATTGCACTCAACGTATTATTGTTATCATTGTCCCACCCGTTTCACCAGTTAACTTTAATTTTTCTTATATCTTCATATATCGTTTTCTCCTTCAACAAGGGTGCCAAAACGAAAATTCCTAGCATACAGGATTTTGAGATAATCAAACCTATTAGTCGAGGTGCTTTTGGTAAAGTTTATCTCGCAAGAAAAAAGACTACTGGCGACCTTTATGCCATAAAAATACTAAAAAAGGTTGATATGGTACGTAAGAATATGGTTAACCATGTGCTCGCTGAACGTAGGGTTCTCAGTCTGTCGAGAACTCCTTTTGTGGTTAAGCTTTTCTACGCCTTTCAAAGTCAAGACTATCTGTATCTGGTAAGTGATGGTTGCCACCATCATGTTCAAAGTGTGTAAAAATTTTAATACTTCTTTCTTTCAATAAACAAGGTCATGGAATATCTGATAGGGGGTGATCTGTCATCCCTGCTGCAATGTTTCGAACGTTTTAGTGAAGATATGGCACGTATGTATACGGCAGAGGTGGTATTGGCCCTCGAATATCTTCACAGCAGTGGAATTACCCATCGAGATTTGAAACCCGACAATATGCTGATCACCTCCGAGGGTCACATAAAGCTCACTGATTTCGGACTATCGAGGATCTCGATTCCGGAGAAAAGTAGCTTGACGTTTGCAAAGGATGAAAGCGAACCAAATAATCGCACTGACAAAAAACAACTCGTGAAAAGTCTAAGATCCGGTAGCATAGATTCTCGTGGCAATGTTACTCACCAACGTCCAGTATCCGCTATCTTTCCCAATGAGAGCTCTAAGCGAGGTCACGTAAACTTCTACGGGTTTAATTCAAATATGCTATCAAGCACGTCCTCGTCTCAACAAAACACCTCTAAAGTTTTAAAGAAACAAAATCGACAGAGTTCAAAAGCCCTGCTAGGAACGCCGGATTACCTTGCACCTGAGTTGCTTCTTGGTACCGGTCACACGACGGCAGTTGATTGGTGGTCTCTTGGTGTTTGTTTGTTTGAATTTTTGCTGGGATACCCACCTTTCAATGATGACACACCACGGGCGATCTTTGGGAATATTTTAAACCATGATATTCAATGGCCTCCCGAAGGATTTTTATCACCTGAAGCCAAAGATTTGATCACAAAATTACTCAATCATGAGTATGAGAAGAGGCCGACCGTCGAGGAAATCAAGGCTCATCCTTTCTTCAAAGGAATCGATTGGGATCACATCCGTCAACAGGAGGCACCTTTTATACCCAATCCTGAGGATGAACAAGATACAAGTTATTTCGAGGCTCGAAACAATCGCGCCGACATCCGTCGACTTTCTGCAGGTAACATTGATGACATCGCGACTGGGAAGATGAACGCATCGGGTGATTCTAAGTCAGGAGTAACCGATGAAGATGCGGGTGTTGCTTCGCAGACGACCATCGGAAATATGCCTTCACCTTTAATATTATCGGCGGTCATCGCTGAACCGGTAGAAACCATTTCCTTAAATTCTCCTACTTCACCTTCTTCACCCCGTCAAAAACCCGACTTAACAGTTAACACTCATCTTCCTGGACGTCAATCATCCCTTAAGCATGTTTCTTCATCAACACTAAAACCTCCTGTCGAAGATGCACAAATGCCAATTAAGCCAATCCAAAAGCGTAGGCCATCCCTCCTAAAGTTAACAGCGGGAAAGTCCAGAAAACAATCTATAAGTGGCATTTCTGATGGTAGCTCAATGTCAGCATCATCATCAGCTTCTGGAACACCAACCACCTCAACAACTTTACCATTATCAGCATCCACCCTGGTGTCCCCTTCCTTTAATCCATCGCGACGTTCGACACTCGTCGGATCGCCAACCACCTCCGAGTTAGAACAGAATAATTGTATTTATGATCACGAAAAGGCTCACATTGGCAATCAGCCTAAAATGATTGGTGATTCTGAATTTGATTCTTTCTTATATAAGGGAGTGTCATTTCTGGGCGATGTCAATCGGGACGTTCTGTCTTCCGGAAGTAACAATAGCAATGCTGGTGGTGGAAGT